GCAGCCTCGCCTCTGTCAGTGCGCCCCAGGGTGGCTGTGGCTACAATGTAGCTGCCATCACCAGTGTGTGAATGGGTGGATGACTGGATATGTAAAGCACCTTGGGGTCCTTAGGGACTAGTAAAGCGCTATATAAATACAGGCCATTTACCATTATTACTCAGTGATCAGAGTGCAAAAATCTGATTCAATTTTTGTTTGCTTGTCAAACACATTTAAGAATAGTTTTCTACTTATAGATTCTCTTAACAGTCGCTGTACTGTTTTGTTTTTTTGTTTTTTTTAAAGAAATTACTTGTTTTACAAGACTAATTTGTAAAACATGGCCAACTCCTATCAGTATACACTCTGAATTGGGTTAATTATCACTTTACATATCAATTATTATTATTATTAGTAGTAGTAGTAGTAGTAGTAGTATTAAGAGACTGAATTCTAAGGAAGACCATTCAGGTGGTAAAATACATCTTAAGTAAAATGCTGATGGCCAATCACAGATTGTGAAGTGTAAAGAGTGTCATTTCCCAGAATCTTTTGATGATACTGTGTATATTCATCCAGTGAACATTCTCTACTGCAGTGTTTCCAGTGAACTAAACAGCGATGACGTGATGATTTTGTTTTCCTTGGATAAGAACAATGCATTAAAACGCTGAATTCCACTGAGTTTTGTCCAGTCTCTTTTCAAATCTTACATATGCATATAAATAAAACCTGATGTGCTTTGCTGTCCACAAAGTTTTATACATTTTATTGTTTTTAACACCTGCCTTCAAGCTCATACTTAAAATATGAATTTCATGCACTCACTGAGGATTGTGTCAATGTCATGTCCCACAGTGTGCCATGCTGAGCTGAATGCCATAGTGAACGCGAGCGCGAATGCTGATGTGAAAGGCTGCACCATGTATGTGACTTTGTTCCCCTGCAATGAGTGTACCAAACTCATCATCCAGGCAGGTGGGTGCTGACAACACACAAAGTCAGTTGCAATTAATTATACAGTTATACACGTGTCAAAGTCTCACATAATGCTATTCATGTCCAGATGAACTACGAAAATATAATTTTGTCATTTGATCTACTTTTTGGAGATCGAGGAAGTCCTCAGCTTCAACTAAGAAATATGTTACCTTTATTAATAATATTAAACTGGCAGCAGGCAGATTCTTTGGGTTTCCCCCCTAAATTGTCATTTAGATTGTGTCACAACAAATCTCACCCTGAATATGTTTTTCTGTGTGCCATGGGGGACAAAGAGTTTACTTTATTGTGATACAAAAAAGGAAGACAATCGTGTTTTTGTTTTCCCCAGAGGCGTGGCTGCCATGTGGCTAAACTTATAGTTAAATAGTTTTAGATCATGAATATAGTTTGAACTGTATTAACACATGTTTTTATTTTGATGGTAATGCTGTGTTTGTTGGCTCAGGACACTCAAACAAAAACATTTTTGCACTGAGGTGCAGGGGAGGCATTCCTCCTCTGTCCCCTTCTGGCCACCTGTGCCTCAATTTTATTTCACAACCTAGACATCCACATTACTTACACTCTCATAACACACATAACAACAACAACAACAACAACACATAAGTTATCCTGTGTTGTTTAGTGCACGGAACAGCCTGCAGGGTGCAGCCACGCTGAACCGAAGTGCTTGTGTGTTTGTATTTGCAGAGCAAATCAACAAGTAATGAGAACCTATTCTAAATTCATGCACGCCTGGAAGTGTTGTTTTGTCCAAGTGTGCAACTGGGAATGTTTATGCGTTGCGGACAGCACAAATGTCCCAAATGTCTTCTCAGTTTGCAGTTTTGAACAGAACTGGTGCATACTGTTTTTTTTTTTCCTCCAGAAAGATGTCCTTATCCTTTTAACAGTCACACAGATCCCCGTATTCCTGCTAAGTAGTCTTGACTCTTCAAGTTTCAATGCAGCTTTCTGGATTCCTTTATAATTCTTTCTTCAATCTCTCCAGGTCTGAAGGAAGTGGTTTATCTTTGTGACAAGTACCACAATACACCTGGAACGATAGCATCCAAAAGGATGCTTGACAAGGCGGGGATACCGTACAGGTGAGTACATTTCTGGGACACAATAAAAGAACATATTTCTTGCACCAGTGTACTGTAGAGACTTTCTGGTTGATTAAATTAAAGGTGAGATCTGTAAAGCAAAATAAAGTTTGTTTCCTCTTCTGTAGTTTCCTGTGTAAAGATGAAGGAAAAGAGTGAACTGTAACTGTTCTTTCAAAGTAATATTAAGAAAAATGTAAGCATGGCAGAGATGGTGTGTAATGACAGTGGTCAGACTTACAGGACAAAAGCAAGAACAAACTTCTCTTTTTTATTTCTTCAGTGGAAAGCAGTTCCTCTGAAAAATATGGACATTGTGTTCTGTAGGTGTGGATTGTCCAAAGTAACAATTTCTTTCTTGTTTCTAGGAAATGTATTACAAAGTAAACTCTAATCACACTGCATTGATTGTTTTGGATAATAAGGGACATGACAGTAGAAGAAGAGAGAAACAAGTCCCCTCAGTTTAATATAAAATATTTTCTATCACAAGCTTCAATATTTTGAATATTTATAAGCCAACTATCTGCTTTTCCATGATTGCAGAATCTCACTGCTCCACACATCACCGTATCTATTCTTGTGGTTTGTTCTTTTAAGATACAGCAAGCTTTCTTTTAGCAACCCTTCCAAACAAGCCACACTCGCTGTGATTATGTAGTCTACAGTTAGTTTAGTAGATCTTCACTGGATTAATGTGTCTGTGTCTTTCTGTCCTTTTTTACCCAAACTGCAGCTTTTTTCTTTCTTTTTTTGCTACTGGACTTACAAAATTATTTTATTTAGATCAGGTAACATTTCCTGATATCGATACGTTTTTAAATGGGATCTGAGGTGTAAGCTTAGCATGAGAGCTGACGTTGTGCATAAATCCTGGTTTCACCACATTGGCAGCCATGCGCGGTGCTTCATTTCTTGGGCAAAAAAACTCAGTCTCTCCATTTTTTGACATCCATGTTTCTTCCCTTTGTGGCTGCTGATGGATTTGTTTTGGAACTGTCTTATAGTCAATGTCATCCAGCTCCCACAGCCCCAAACACCCTATAGTGTTGCTACTGCAGCAGCAGTACTGACCAGCGTGTCTGAATGTGTGTTTTCTGTGTTTTCACAGGCGCTTTGTGCACACAATGCCTCAAATTGCCATTGCTTTGCCTTTCATTGAAACTCCTGGAAATGAAAATGCCTAAGACTCATCTTGGGGAGCTGCTGAATGGGGCAGTGAGGCAGAAGAAGAATCAGCAGAAAATGGATTTGGGACGGGTTTGGAGAATAATATGACCAAGACTAATTTGCAGGTCAAATCTGAAATTAGAATATTTGGTTTGACAAATTATAGAACAGAATGTAATAAAGGAAACTGGAAAAAAGCATATGAAATGAAAAAAGAAGTAACGAAATGGGAGAATAATAATAGTAATAATAAAGCATTAATATGGTTAAAACTGTTGTCCTCTCCAAATTCTTCTTCTAGCAGCTATTCTTTCTGCTGATAACAAATCTACAAAAAGCTTATATAGAAATTACTAAAGAGTAAAATGAAAGGTGGGTTAGGAGATGTTCAACTGGAAAGTAGATTAAAGGACGGTTTTGTTATTTTGGTATCGAAAGCTTTTAAAATGGGACATCCTCCCTCATCAAAACAGAAGCAAGGGCAGAGCAAGGTATGTACCATACATATTATAAAATGATCTGTTTTTGTAAATGAGGAATGATGCAGTCTATCTCTTTAGCCTCTCAATGATACTTGAAGCTGCACAGGAGTTAACCAAACCAGACCAAATTTTTTATTCTAATGAATGAACTCAGCTTGAATCAGTTGTAAAAACATTTTCTTTTTCGTTGCCTACATTCTAGAGGGTGACGTTGCCTCAACACCTAAACAGGAAATGGAGTTCAGTTGGGCTAAAGTGAGATATGGGAGGTGAGGAAACGAAAAATCAGCAGGGGAAAAAGAATCACAAGTCACTGTGATCTTTATAGTAGTTTTATAGCAGCATCTACTATGTTACTGCTGCTCTGAGGTTTACTGCGCTTTGTGGATTTGCACAAATGAATTCAACAGGATGTAAGCAGATTTTCATGAATTGTCTTCGCTTCAATTTCCATCCCCTACATTTACAGTATACTGTTTATACTGTCTTTACACTAAATCCTATCAAGTTTGTATAAAGGTGGAATTCAGTAAATGCATCTAAGGATCATTAACATCTGCTGTTCTTTACATAACCTAAATCTGACCATGAACACCGTAGCTACTGTCCAACAAAGTGCTTTACTTTAAATCCATCAAACCTCTTTCATCCACCATTTAAATAACACAAAGTTAGCATAGCTCAGATTATCATATTTTTTTTGTTGCAGAATATGACCCCCCCATTATTTTACATCATAAACAGATTCAATATCTGATTTAACACATTTTCTTTAGGCTTTCAGTTTATTAAGAAAATGTGTTAAATCACATTGGGCAGTCCTTTCTTTCTCCATCTCTGAGAGAAGTGAGCTTTCAACGTTACTCCCTCGGTCTTCGGTCTTCTTCTGCAGCGCCAGCTAGATGCTAAAGAATAGAGGCCACAACTTACAGACAACTGCACAATCGGGTGTTGAGCCAAAAAACAAAACCCAAAAGGAATCACCAGCTACACCATTAGGATTGCCTTATTGTTCAGGCTGAATCGGTTTGAAGGCCTGCATATACTGTATATATATTTTTTAAAATCTGTCTCAGTGGGTCAACCACTGGATCCACCCAAAGGTGTCATATACTCCATAATGCCTCAGCAAACTGTGTTTAAAGTCCACTAAATAAACCACCTCTTTATTTAAAATGGCTCATCTGCAAAAAAGAAAAAAATAAGGCATGCAACACTATCAAATAATAACTCTGATCAAATGTGTTAAAACTAAAGTAACAAGCCTGTTTTTAAAATTTAAGGAGTAGAAAGTTTTGACATTTGTGTAAAAATGCTGGGAGTAGATGCTCAAATGAAGCTTTTTATGTACAAGTCTTCCTATGATTTCTATCCAGGCATGCCACAGAATATAAAAAGAATGTAAAAATCTTTATTGTGCTTTCATACATGGTCTTGCATTTGACACATTAATTCTTATGAACCTTTTTGCATGTTGATTTGCATGATGCAATCTACTATAAGGCTCTCTGCACAATCTTGAAACAAGTGTCCTTCACTGATCACAGAGCAGGCTGCTCTCGGGGCTCTTGGCGTCCACGTCTCCCCAGTAGGGCAGGATGAAGGGCAGGTCAGCCACACGGCTCTCCAGCAGCCTCCACAGATGCTGGGCCACAAACTGGTTTCCTTTCTCTGAGAGATGAAGCCCATCAGACAGGTAGACCGTGTAGTCCTGTACAAAAGATGATAAAATAAGACATCTGAGGCCAGAAGACCTGAAAACAGAAACACTGTATACAGGAATACAAGATCAGATCAGATTTTAAAAAAGGAAATCACAGTGAGTGCATATAAAAATTATATACATTATAATATTGATTGGCAATATTAAAATTAACTGTTTAATAACAGAAAATCTGACAAAATAATGAAATTATAATAAAAAAAAATGTTATTCATTTGAGAAAGCATTTGTTTTTTTATGTTATGGATCTCATTTGATTTCTGCAGCACCTGAATGCCAAAAGCCTCAATATCAGCAACAAACAGCAGCTAGAAGTATTGATCCTCACCTGTCCATCTTTTTGCATGAGCGTCCAGAGATCCAGGACGTCTACACCACACTGACCAGCAGCTTTGACACACGCCTGGGCATACTGCCCCGCTACAGAGTTGTGGCGATTGAGAGGACATCCTGCAGGAGACGCAAAGGGATGCTCAGGATCTGTGTAGGACTGTGTAAAAAGACAGGAATGAAGAAGGAGAAAAGCTCCTGTTACCTTTAAGAATGCACTCCTTCTCCCAGGATGGCTCATGCAAGGGGGGAGGTGTGATGAATATAACTCTGTCAGCAGTTACACCAGCAGAGGCCAGAAACCTGGTCATCTCCTTCAGGTTCTCAGAATACTCGTGCACAGGCACATGCTGCTGGCTCTTACCTGTAAACAAGGAGATGATAATATACAGACACATTTATTAATAAAAATATGTCATAAAAATTCATTTAAGGCTGTGGCACTTGCAATTGAGACATTATAATAAACATCCAGCAGCCTCCTGTCATCACAAAAAAAATGTTCCCAGCAGTCATTAATGTATAATAAGAACAGCGGAGGAATGAGGATTCATCCGTGAGGAGAGCCGGTGACTTTTTAAAAAAAATCCAGCAATAAATCCAGCTGTCCAAGCCAATATGGTCTGTGATGTCGACTACCAGTCATGATCTTGTTGGAAACTCTCAAGATGCCAATAAACATCCACTGGCCACCAGAGATGGGCAATAACGCGTTACTGTAATCCGATTACTTTTTTCAAGTAACGAGTAAAGTAAGGGATTACTATTGCAAAAACGGTAATTAGATTACCGTTACTTTCCCGTAGGAACGCTGCGTTACTGCGTTACTAAATCCGTGATTTTTTTGCGAGAATGTCTCATGACAGTGAGGTAAGCGAGTGCGACGTTCATGGCAATCAGCTATGTGCAGATAATATATCGAGTGCGGGAGAGAGTATGAGCGTGCAGCGTTTAAAGTGTGGAAGTACTGACCTTACTTTAAGTTTGATTCCATAAAAAGTGACAAAAACATTAGCGTCCATCGTGCGTGGGATGAAAACTTCTTTTTACAGCGAAAAAAACCCCTAAACTTCCAAGCAAGCACCAAATGTGCTATGACGTAATGGGAAACTCACAGAGAAACTCGCGGATTCTTCCACTGACCGCTGCGGCACACCTGCACCAGGGTAAACCTCCGCCTGCTTTACAGGTGAATATAGAGCAAACAGGACCGCTGAGTCTTTGACTTTATTTATTTCCTGCTGTGTTTTACTTGCATTTATTTTTGAAAGACTGAGTGTAAACACAAAAAAATATTTTATTTTATGTGCTGGAATGTGCAGAAAATAGGTTTAAATATTAAACAAATTTCTTCCAGTCAGAGAATGTTGCATATAATTAAATTTTTGCTTGATGCATAAAGTTAAAAGGTTAAAACTAATAAAACAAGTTTTAAAAAGAGACTTTTTGTATGATGGATTATGTAGAAAATGTAGAGTTGGGCTGAAAGATCTATCGCTTTATCACCTCTTCAGGTTGTAAATCCTGTTTTTTAAAAGTAACTAAGTAACTAAGTAATCAATTACTTTGAAAATAAGTAATCAGTAAAGTAACGGGATTACTTTTTGGGGGAAGTAATCAGTAATTAGGTACTGATTACTTTTTTCAAGTAACTCGACCAGCACTAGGTATACCTGTTTGTTAACACATATCTAATCGCCCGATCACAGCAGTTTAGCGCATATAGACACGTAGACATGGTGAAGATGACCTGCTGAAGTTCAAACTGAGCATTGAAATAGGAAAAAAAGTGATTTAAGTGGCATAGTTGTTGGTGATAGATGGGCTGCTCTCAGTTTTTCAACCTGCATACAACTACGTTGTCCAGACTAGCCTCTCTGAATGCGTGAACCTTGAAGCGGATGGGTTACAGCAACAGAAGACCACACCGGGTACAACTGCTGTCCGGTAAGAACAGGAAACTGAGGAAACTGCAGACTGAACGCCACAACGCCCAGATTGTCTCAAACTGGCTTGTTGAACATGACAGTGAGTTCACTGAACTCATACGGCCTCCACAATCGGCAGATCTCAAACCGATAGAGGGCCTTTGGAATGTGGTGGAATATGAGATTCACATCATGGATGTGCAGCAGGTCTATGATGCCATCATGTCAACATAGCCAAAAATCTCTGAGAAATGTTTCCAGCACTTGAATGTATGCCATAAAGAAATAAGACAGGCCTAAAAGCTAAAGGTGGTCTAAAGGGGCACTAGCAATCCGTACCTAATAAAATGGCCTGTGAATGAAATCTCTGTCAGGCCGATTCTGGCCCTCCAGGCCTTATGTTTGACACCCCTGGTGTAGATCACTGCAAATGTGCAAGTATTTGTTAAATTATAACAAGAGTGAGCATGCTCCAGTGAAGCTGTACCTTCCAATGCACTGTCATTGGCTCCGAAGAAAATGGTAACTGCTTCTATCTTGCTGTCTGCTGAATTTTCAGGGTTTATGAGGCGAGGAAGAACAATCTTGCCCCATCTGGAGTTATAGCCGGACAATCCTCTGTTTATAACATCACATTTTCTAAAGGCAAAATAAAATCGCAGATACAGAGATCAGTCACATTAAGCAACTGCTGCATAACACAAGCACAATTCCTCTTAGAAGAAGTGTGTATTTTTACCTGTTTGGAAGTCAGAGCTATTATGAAGGGAATGCAATTTAAATGGAACTACACACCTTGCAAGTTTATCGGCAATTTCTGCTCCCCACCCATTGGGTTGAAATGAAACCTGAAAGAATCAACAGCACCGATTAATTATTTCCACACTAACAGTCAAAGTGGACAGTGATTGAGCAGACAAATAGTAAAATAGATTAAAGTGTAAACACTATCTAACCTGTGTGATGGAGTCCCCAAATAAAATAACTTTAGGCCAAATGATTGACGTGAACTTGGACATGATGAAGCCAAGCCGGTTCCTAAAGAAAGGAAAGAGAAACGTCAGATTTTATAGGTAAAGCTTGCACATCAAATGCATTGTTTACACTATAAACTCAGTTTCCGAAGACGCGTTAAAAGTGTTTGCACAACAACTCATTAGAATTTATATTTTCAATCCACAAATTACCCAGTAGCCTTGGAAGAAGAAGGAAGGAAGGAATAAATAAGGAAATGTCTTCCGCACTTTTTAATGCTGATAGGGCTTTTATTTTGAAAGTTCCCGGAGTACGTTTTCCCTTTCCGCCTTGTTGTGTCACATCAAAAATCTTCCGTGCGAGCTGCAGAGTCTTGTGTGGATTCTTCAAAGGTCCAGCTAATAAATGAAGGTTAGCTCCCGCTATTATCAAGATTTTCAAATAGCAAAAAACAGATAGTTTAAATTTATACTCCTTGGTACTGTTTTGGACAAATTTAGCTCCAGATAAAAAGGAACTGTGATGGAATTCAAGCTAGCGTCAGCTGTACGTTACATTCATCCGCGGTAAACTTAACTACACGTGAAAAATGGATGAAACCCCCCCATCTCCTTTCATATAATCACTATTTATTAATGTCTAAACGCTTAATTGAAGATAGTGTATTTTTATCCTTTAATGCCCTCCTATGTGGGCTTAGTTAGCACTACGGGCATGACACTGTCAAATTCCACTGACTATGATCTCCAACCACAGACTGTATTTGTAGTTTCCAACCTGACGAACCTGAGTCTCAGATAAACACAGCAATGAAACAACCTGACACAACAGATGCGTCTATTAATAAGACTTGTGTTAGGATTAGGTGTTGGAAGGTGATGGGCTGGGATAAAGTCAGGGTTTTCCCTGCATATTAAAAATGGTATTATTAACAATATCATTAAACATTTTTTTTACGTGAAGTTTACTCAAACTTAAATATATTTTTGTTTATAAAATTCCCTAAAGTACGTAGGAAATTGAAAGACTGTTGCAATATAAGATAACATAGGCTTTGCCTAACAACATGCAGACCAGCTGTGGCTACAAAGGCTTGTTTTGCTGTTAAAATATTCCCAAGATGCCTATGTTTAATGTCCTCTTTGTGTCCTTAACAGCAATGTTGCGGCGTCCCAAGCCAACTGACTCAGAGGCAGACCTCCTGAGAGAGCAGGAGCACTTTCTCACTTCAGGCGCTCCCTCCGCCGCCAGTGTTGTCCGCCGCCCTGACAAGAGGAGAGGAGAAGCTGGAGAGGGAGAAGGGCGGAGTGGGGAGAATGAAGGGAGCCAGAGGGATGTGGTCACCATTGAAGGTTACAGATGACACAGATTTTTCACAAGAGCATATTGTGTTTTAAAACTTGTCTGATTTTAACTTTTTGGGGTCTCTTATGTAAGTAGCTAAAGCTCAGCTGCTCTCTTAAATGCAGATCTTCCAGATCAGCTCCCTTCTCTGACACCAGCCCCTCCTAAGAAGTCTCGCTTTAAAGCGAGTCGTGTCACCTTTGAGGATGAGGATGCCGAGGAAAGGCTGGACAGACACGACACTCACATCAGTGCCGTTCTCTCCAGAATTGTTGTAAGTGGAAGCTTCTTGTCTGTTCTCAGTTAGACTTGTTTAATGTCTTGTTTGGTGTATCCATAGTTTGGGATTCTTTTAGTTATTTATTTTATGTATGTGTATTTTTTTTGTGTCAAGGAGAGAGATACCAGCTCCACTCCAATATCTCTACCAGCATTTACAGGCATGGCTTTCCCCAAAGTGCTGCACCGCTCAGAAACCAGCAATCAGGTAAAGGTCAATAATATCATCTCTTCTTTAAATTTTAAAATTTCTTATCAGCCACTATAGATTCATAATCAGTTATTATATTTATTGCAGTAAGTCACCCCCTCTTCGTACGATGGCATGCTATTTTTGCATTCATTTGGTGTCGTGTGAAATAATCCTGTTTTTTTTTTGTTTTTTTTTTTGTTCCCTCCCTGCAGGCACCTCTGTCATCAGCTGGAGGAAAGAAGAGCATCTTTGCTCGTCAGATTGCTGCCCAGAAGCTAAAAGAGTGCAAGACAACATTACATAGTTTATCTGAAGCTGCTCCAACCCCAGAAACTAGTATGGATACAGATCAGTGTGATGCTGCAGGTGGGGTTAACCATTAATATCACAAATGCAACACAGGTCTCAGTTTATTTGTGTGTTTTCGAAGAATTTAGGAATTACATATTTTCAGCAGTAGTAACACTTTCTGAAAAATATTTTTCCTCCCTTCTATACCATCCTCTTCGTCTCTCTGTTCAGTAGAACCAGCAGCAGTCTCCGGTCCCAGGTTGGTGTCCGGGCAGGGGCTTCAGGGTCCCGATAGCTCAGGAGAGACCATGAGGATCCACATGGAAAACCAGGCCAAGCTCCAAGCCATGTCCCAGTCTGAGATACTCGAGGAGCAGAAGAAGCTCTTGTTTCAGCTCGGTAGGCATTGATGTTGTCGGCAGGATCTTTTCTTTATAATGCACGTTATAATTAAGATGTGATGGGGTGATGTACTAGTCACGTACATCACACTTTTTTTTAATCACCATTTCTGTACAGCATGTAATGCAGTTATTTTTGCTTCTCAGATCCTAGACTGGTGGACTTTGTTAGATCTCGCAAAGCACAGAGCGTCCCATCCTTTCCCTCCCCATCCAAACACCCCAAGGACAAAAGTGGCACAGAAGATCCTCCAGTTCAGGATGTGAGCAGAGAGTCAGGCTCCTGCAATGCTGCAGTGTTGTGTCAGAAACCCCAAGAGGTGGAGATGGAAGGAGAGGAGGAGGAGCTGTCAGCGCCACCACCTGCTGTGACGGGTATGATTTATTCAAATTCAACACCAGTTTCTGCTCTCTGCTGCTGGTGATTAAGATGAAAGTTAGATTCTAAAATATGTGGATGATGTTGTTATTAAGTGTGCCTATGCAATAGCACACTTTCACATTGTTCCTGTGCCTGCTTTCCTGGTAAGATTGAATCCTCATTTCTGGGATCTTAAATTTGCTAAAGGAGACCAATTTTATCCACTTTTTAAAGAGACGATGACACTTAGCTGTTAACCAGCATTCCCTCACTTCCCGGTCAAATATCTTCTTCTCATTTCTGCACGCTTTTCCGCTCTCATACTTGTCCATCCTCTAACTGTGTAACTTAATGTCAGATGTAGTTGCTGCATGGCTAAAACGGATTCATATCTCCATTTGGAGTGATAGAAGCCTCTCTTTGAAGTTTTATTTCAGAAAATGCAAAAATCAACTTCACCCCTTAATTTGTTGCTTATACATCACACGAACCCCCCAAAAAGTTAGAACTTCATTATGTTATTCTGTCCTGCTTGCATTGGCTACAATTAATAGCCAGATATTGTTTAAGCTTCTAGTCACGTTTAATGAGTGCTGAGGTTTTTGCAGCAGATGCAGCTTCTAAAATTGTTTGGAGAAGTTGTTTTTGGCTAACTAATTGTCATTTTCATTTACAATGCATGCTGTTTTTACCACAATGGATGCGTCTGTGAATACAGAGGAGGATCTGCCAGTGAAGCCTCAGAAGGAATGGGTCCACATGGATAAGCTGGAGCCGGAGAAGTTGGAGTGGTTGAGAGACTTGCCTGAACCCAGAAGGAAAGGAACCAAGAAAGTAAGATCTGGTATTTGACTTGCAAGTAATGAAAGATCTAGTTAAAATTCTGTATTTTATTCAACACTTTCCGTTGTTTTTGTGTGTCCTGATAGGCCATGCAGGCTCGTTTTGACTTCGCGGGGACTTTAATTCCACCCACTGAGGATCTGCCAACGCACCTGGGCCTCCACCACCATGGAGAGGAGCCTGAGGTCAGTCAGCACAAAGTCACAACAAAAAGACAACTTGACCTCCTTAAAATTGGAGTGATGCTTTTATAAAATGACAACAATGTCAAGTTCCAGTTGACTCCTTGGTAGAACACAGTAGAACCTACTGGATTGTACGTGTAGATTAAATATCACAACCTGTGGCTTAATTTTAAGTTTATGTCATGTTTTTTTAGTGAAGTACAAAAACAAGACTGCAGAGGATTTAAATAAGATTGAGGTTTGTAGTGAAACGCACTTTGAGAGCTCAGTAAGAGTAGAAAAGCACTAATAAGTACCGATCCATTCACCAATAATCTGTAAGTTTTCTCTGTTATTATTCAGTCTGATTGATCCCATCAGACTCAATTTCTTTCTCATTCATTTAAATTCAGTTCTTCTCATATCTGCACCTGTAAAAATGTATAAACTCTTATCATGAGATCTCATCTTGACATTTGTCCCCAGCGGGCAGGTTATTCCCTGCAGGAACTCTTCCTGCTGTCTCGGAGTCAGATCATCCAGCAGAGGACGCTGTCGCTCAGCACTCTGGCGAACATCCTCTCAAAGGTACCAGAACCTAGACGCATGAAGTTCCACTCTTAGCTTTAAGAAGCGTGCCTCTGTCATGTTGCTGGATTTTTTTCTTCTTCTTCTTTTTTTTTTGCAGGCGTGTGCTGGAGAATACGTGTCAGTTCTGAAAGGCAGCGTGACGTCTACTCTGCTCGACGCCGGCCTGCTCTTTCTGCTCCGCTTTGCATTGGACGATAGCGTGGAGGGAGTGATGTCTGCAGCTGTGCATGCTCTTAAAGCACTGCTTGTGTGTGCAGAAGATGAAGTAAGATTATAAAGCATAAAGCCAAATATTGCAATAGTAATATAATAAAAATAATAATAATAATAATTGTTTAACTTGCACTAATTTACTCTTTGTAATTTTCTATATGCACTATTTGAAAAAAGCAAATAAATAAATACAAATATCACAGAAATTTGTCCTCATACTAAGGACTAATACAAAGAAAGAACTATATCATGTAAAACTCAAAGCTTTATTTCGATGATTTGTGCATAAACAGCACAGCATTGACTCATTATCGGATAATATCTTTTAAAACACATCAGCTGAATAGAATAGAATACACTGTTTCTTTACTGTAAATGAGTACAAGTGTCTGAAACCCCAGTCAAGTTCCTCTTACAAATGAGTTCCCTCACTCAGGAGTGTCTGGACTGCACTTTTTCCTGGTTTTGCGGTCTGGCTTCCTTCCCCCTGCTGCCATCTGCTCAGGAGGAAGAAGATGAGGAGGATGAAGGGCTGGATGAAAGTATGAAGGAGACGGCCAAGGAGAAAGAAGAGAGGAAGAGCGATCATGAAGTGGCCAGACAGGATGCTGTCAAGGTGAAGATCTCAATATCCCTTTTTTTTTTGCATTCTACATGTTGCCTTCGTGACCTGTGGATGGAAACTGATCAAAGGTTTCTGATTTCAGGGTTTGTTAAAAATGAAACTGCTCCCCAGGCTGCGTTACATTCTCGAGGTGGTCCGGCCGTCACCTCGGGTGGTTCAGGATGTCCTGGAGATCCTGACTCGCATTGCTAGGCATTCCTCCTCATCTGCTACGCAGGTAACAACAGCAACTTTTTAACAACTGAGAAGTCTTTAAACTCAAAGTCCTTCATAGCTGAAATACCTCTTGGTGTATCCCATTCTCAGGTATTGGATTGTCCTCGTCTGATGGAGACAGTAATGTCTGAGTTTCTTCCCACTTCCTGGTCACCATCATCTCAGTCCATTTACGGACTTCCACTTTCCAGCGCAATGAAGCTTCTAAGAGTTTTGGCTACCTCTGGCAGACATGCCTGTGCAAGACTGGTAAAATCAATAAGTGTAATTTTTTAACTGCAAAGATACTCGAGTAATAAGATTTATAATGCATTGATTCTGCAAGCTGCCAGTCCAAGGCCGACTTTTAAGACAAAAGCTAGAAAAACAGTGTTTAGCGTTACTTATGATGTATTCCTGTTTTTAATATTAGTAGTAAACATGTTTTTGGAGGCTCATCGGTGTACTGTAGTGGGAAAACACATTTGGCTTGCACTCAAAAGATCCCTGGTTTGAGACCAGTGGTTATAAGCTAGTGTGCTCCTAGTACCAGTCCTAACCAGGATAAATGGGAGGGTTGCATCAGAAAGGTGTAAAATCTGTGCCAAATAAACATCCTCTGTGGAAACCGCTGGAAAGAAGGGTAATCGGTGTTGTGCCTTCTTTTTTGGCCTTTCCAGTTAAACTCTCTGGGAGCGAGTGAGCGATTGTCTCATCTCCTGAGTGCAGAGCCCAACGAGCTGCTGCTGGAGCCGACCGAGTCCCTCAGGATCACCACAGAGGCCTACAGGCTGTGGGCCGTAGCGGCCGGCTATGGACAGGCGTGCAAATTATACATGTAAGTTATAATGTGAGAGCGATTACTGCCACAGTTCTTAACACAGTTATATCTGTCATATTTAAAAAAATGTTGCTATGTTGATGCACTAGTGAGAAAATAGAATAAAATGTAAGCAATTAATGTCTGTGTCTACACTGAGGTAGAAAATTTGCAAATGATTCTATCAGGAATTTGCACATTTACTTTATGATGGGCCAACAGCCTGCTAGATAAAGGGTCCCTTACCAGTTTATATTGTATGTGGCTCCCTTCACGCTCTGTCCAAACGTAAGAGCCAGGCTCTCCTCTTCACTCACAGTGAGTATTTAATTGCTTTGATTTGCTGTGTTTTCCCGCAGAGACCTGTATCCAGCCTTAGTGACAGCACTGCAGTCTGTTCACAGACTTCCACCTGCCTCAGATCCTCTGCAACCTCTGCAGCTCCAGCGGTTTTTGGCTCTGCTTTCTCTGCTCACACAAGTTACACACACAGCTGGCTGCCATCAGGAGCTCCAGGCTGGGATGGTCAGGTACAGATCAATGAAGCCATTCTGCTAGAGAATCTGGAGGAAGCAGCGTTGGCTTGAACGCTCTGATCTTACATGTCACTTCCTCTGCTTTCACTGCAGCTCCGGTGGAGAACAGTGCCCTCCCCCTCCTCCTGTATCTTGGGGTCATGTCACAGGGTTGCAGACATCCTTAATGGGGCATTTGAAGGGTTTTATTAAGAACCTCGATGATCCACTCCAGAAAGACGGCAGCCTCACTCTGATACCAGTTTACCTTGTTTACCTAGAAGCGTACTACCATCAGCTGTCCAGACAGGTATTTCCTGCCTTTCCCTTCCATAAATGAGATGTTTCATATTTATTGTTACTTATGCTAAGTTAAAATTTGATGTCATGTGATTTCCCAGCTGGCGAGTGGTCATCGTGTATCCTTCCTTCTGCACGCTCAGTTTAAGCAACAGTGAGAATGCAGCTAATTATGTCCTGTTGTGCGCTACATGTGACAAAGAGGAACTTGAGGATTATCTTGTTCGCTGTTTACGTCTCAAATTCCTTGAAACTGATGAACATGTTGCTCCACAGAACTGTTTCAAGCCCGTGGAGACTCTTCAAGAGCTCGAGCTGCTGACATCTGATGTTCTTCTCCCTCTGATGTCTCACAGTGTTGTGCAAGGCCTGATAAAGAATCTCAAGTATGTCTGAAAACAGATGGCAATTTAGCCTTTTTTCCACAAAATTTGTGTTTGAGTTGAACCTTTAACATCATTCATTATTATTTAAAAAAAAAAAAAAGTTGGGCAGGGATAGCTCAGTAGGTAGAGTGGTGGCCCCATGATCGGAAGGTCGGGGGTTCGACTCCACTGAACGGCTACCCTGAGGCACCCCTGAGCAAGGTACCGTCCCTACACACTGCTCCCCGGACGCTGCATTGGTGGCTGCCCACTGCTTCACTGGGTGAATGGGTTAAATGCAGAGGAACTATTTCCCTATGGGGACTAACACATACACATTATAACAGCACAGTTTAATGTTTTTTTTCCACACCAGGTCTTCCTCTGTAGTGTGTAATGCTCAGGCTATACCTCTGGGCCCAGAAATCACTAATAACCTCCCTGGATTGGCGTGCATGGGATGGAGGAATCGTCCGGGGCTGGTTGCTCCCAGCTCCCCTTTCCCTCTTCTGACTGGACTGGGGCTTCTATTGGAGACGATCACAGGGATCCATAAAGGCCTCAGCAGCAAGGTAGGACTGACTGGCCTTGGGGTGTTTTTATTTTGTTGTTGTTTGCTGGTTTTATACATTTTCTGCTTCGTTTATGTCCAACCAAAACATAGAACTAATGAGTAAAGCATGTGGACTCTCCTTGTAATGAAGGTATGGGTACTCTTTGCACTCTGGGGCACATTGTTAGGGACACCTTTGTAGTATGAGGTTAGATTCCCTTTTTGCCTTCAGAACTTTTGCCTTAATTGTTTGTGGCAATGATTCAACGAGGTGCTGGAAACATTCCTCTAAGGTTTTGGTAAATATTGACATGATAGCATCACGCACATTTTTTGGCTGAACATGATGACAATCTCCTGTTGCACCACATCCCATAGCTGCTCTATTGAATTAGGATCCGCTAACTATGGAGGTCATCCGAGTACAGTGAGCTCAGCTGATACTAAGGGGCCCATTATCACCACCCTGAGTCATTGATACAAGGCAGGATGGATCCATGATTTAGGTTTTTATTTCAAATTCTGACTGAATGTCGCAGCAGAAATCAAGACTCATTGTTTTCTAATCTTTTGTTCAGTTGTGGTGAGTCCACATGGCTTGTAGTTTTAATTTTCTCTTCTTAGCTGACAGGCTTCGAGGCTCGATATGTTGTGCACTGAGAGATGCTCTTCCGCATGCTTTAAATGTATGCAGGGTTTTAATACTCACACCAGCCCATCTGGCAGTAACAGCCATGCCGTGTCATTCTGATGCTCAGCTTGAATTTTAAGAGGTCGTCTTGACCTCAACGTCGTGCCTAAATGCTGCCATGTGATTGGCTGATCATATATGTAGATTTCCCTTCTCTCACTCACTAGTTCACCGGACTGCTTCTGTCGGAGCCTGTGACTGGTTACCTGCGCAGCTGCAGTCAGGCTACACCCAGCCTGTCTCACACCAAGGCTTGGCTTCTACGTCACGAACACCACCTCCTCTACCTGCTGCTGCGACTGGCTCACAGACTGGTACGTCCACTCCACCTTTAATGTTGAGCTCAGTTTAGCCATGTTATACAGTATTTTAAACCATTTTTCTTTCAGGCATTAGTTTCCTTCTTATGCCGCAGCTTGTATGATTCCTGGCTAGTTCATTTATTTTTGCCTTGTATGGAATGAAAATGGTTGCAGCCCTTTTCTACTTGATTTTGGTGTTTTGAGCATAAGATCAGATTTTATCTGCTCACTTGTTGATGTTTAATTATTTATTTTAACCTAATCATGTTATTTTTTCCCCTCTGTTTTACCTCTCTCAGGTTCCCCTCGACTCAGAAATAGCAAAACATGCCTCACTTTACCACCAGGTGGCGCTGGTTGTATTGCCTTGGTTATTGCCAGGCAGTGAATACCTGGCACATGAACTGCTCTCCACCATTGTCTTCAGCAAGGACTTTATATCGTATGTTTACCTTTAATCAGTTTAATCTGAGATAAGTGAAGGACCTACAATATTACTCTAAAGTGCCTGAAATTTTATAATTACTTTTTATTTTGTTCAGCAAATGATACTTTGTCTAAATCGATGTTTAAATTAGTGCCTCAAAAATGTGACTGATGTGTCCTCTAATTTTGCTAATGACATTATATAATAAAATGTAATTTCTTTGAAATAAGATTAAATTAACAAATGACCCATTTCCATCAAAAGTTTCTCGTTCTGTTTCTTCGCTTATTAAATTATCAGGGTGTTTATGTCTGTTTCTTTGATTTCCAGAGAAGGACACAGTGGAGGACCTGAGGCTGTGGAGCTGGGGGAGCTGAAGCTTCATGAGGAAACACAAAAGGACACCTCTCCCTCTCTCCAGACTGTCGGGGCTCTCCTGAGAGAAGCCTGTGTCCAGCTGCCATCCATACGAGGTTGCTTCCTCACTCACCTGGCCCACCTGGAGTCGTCTGTAATAGTATCCAGAGATGCTCTCCTGGGCCACAACCCCTGGATCAAAAGTCATCTCTTGCCAGAGCTCACCGGTCCCATCCTGCCATCTGATTGGCCTTTCCTTCCACTTCTCAGCCTGTATGAGCAATCGGGGGTGTCTGATGGTGGAGGGCTGGCAGTGGAGGAGCTTCCTCAGGGGGCTCTGCAGGCCGTGACTCACTGTCTGCAGTGGCTGCTGCTGCTGGAGGTCTGGAGGGAGGAAGCGCTAAAGGTATTCAAACAAGTCAAGCCAGTTGCCTGTCAGCACAGTGCCATGAATTTTCTCAGAGGGCTTTGGTGTCAAGTCTCAGCGGAGACCACATAGAAATCTGATTATTAACACATTTAATTAATAGGCAATTTTGTGGGGTTGTTGTACATATAAATGGAAAAGTGTTATATATTCCATGTCAGCCAACAAAATGTATATCAGTAACAGCAGAACTGATCCATTATATAATAATATAACTAGTACATGCACATGCTACTGAATTGTTTGGCCTGTTTGGCAAACTGATGTACTTAATCACATTTAAAAAATGAAAACATAGATGTGGTAGATGCTGTTGTTTGTCGTTTAGCTCGTGCCATTTTAGCTTTTATGTGAGGTCATCGCTAGGCTTGTATGATGCAACTTCTGGTCATATAACAGAGATGTTATTGTCATGAAATGAAAACAGAAGGATGCGTTCATAAGAGGTTGCAGGTCCATCGAGGCTAAAAACACGTCCTTTTAGTCTGTTACTAATTGGTTGCCAGGCAGCATGATGGTGGCGTAATGTATCATGCATAGTTCAACTTTTTTGTATATGAATTAGTTATTTTCAGGAAATAAAAATGATATGAAGCTTTTATAAGTTGTTACAGGTCCATAATTGCTAAACTTAGGCCATTTCAGTTCATTGCTAGGCAGTTGCTAAGCAACATAATGACACCTTTAATATATGATATAGATAGGAACCTTCAAGCGCCACAAATGCACCTGTATACCAAGTTTGGTTGCTCAACTCCAGATGGTGTGGGAGGAGTTTATGGACAGAGACAAACAAGCACACTAATTTTTTTGTGCGTGAGATAGTGAGATGCTGTCATAGTAACACTTTAGTTTTAAACCAGTGTTGCAAAGTGCTACACACGGCAAAAACACATTAACACTAGACCTGCCAAGAGTGGATGACTGCTAGCTGTGCAGAACAGCAGAGAAACCTGGAGCTGAACCAAGCTCTTTCTAATCCAAGTGAGTCTTGACAGCAGGATGTGATGAAGGTGGGACTCTGCTCTAAGCCCAGCACACCGGTCTCACACAGAAAGAGGCAGAGGGGTGGTAAAGAGGGGAAGGCAGAGTTGGAGGCCATGATAAACGTTCACTGTATTCATTCTGGAGTCACCGAGTGTCTGAATATGTGACTTCTTTTGATATGTGCTTGTTTTACTCTATAGAAACTGATGTAGGATGTCTGACGTGCTTGCTGTGTTAGGCGACTAGCAGGCGCAGTTATCCAAAATCTATAACTTTTACTTCATATTCTCCTTTCACAGTAAATCAAATGTCAATTATTTGTCAGTTTATTAGTGCTAGTCTTAAAATATAGTTCACATATGTTTTAAGATAGTTCACAATTTTCATAGAGAAGTACTTTGTACATGCAATGGAGTTACAAAGAAAACCTACACCCTTCAGATGTTTCTTCTGTAGATCTGTTTCCTTATCACATAAATTGATATTTGCTTCTGTGTCATGCTGTAGGTGGTCCTCCCTGTCGCCAAGTTCGCCCGCCTGTCCTGTGTGTTCCTCTGTTCCAGTGACTTGTTCCTGGAGAGACCCGTTCAGAGGCTGACCTGGGGTCTGTTCAGACTGCTCACCAGGTCTGATATGACACATTTAGCTTTTTCTTTTACACCAACTAATCTCTAAAAGTTAACAGTGACCCTTCATTTTCAGGAGCACCAAGCTGGACTCTTTGGACCTGAACGTCCCTCCTCCAGGTCTGGCCTCATTCCAGGACTTGTATTCAGCCCTTGTGTCCCAGTATGAAGCTGTGTCTTTTGGAGACCGGCTGTTTGGTTGCTGGGTCCTCTTGCCCCTGCAGAGGAGGTACAGCACCACCATGAGGCTGGCGGTGTTTGGCGAGCACGTGGGGATGCTGAGGTCTCTGGGGGTCACTCTAGAACAGGTAACGATGATAGCGTAATGATCTCTGTTGAAGTGATTTTTCCACTTCCTGTTATAATAAGTTATTTATCGTTTATATGTCTGTCTTGTCATTTGAAGCTGTCCATTCCTATCGAGAGGTTCACCTCCCCACCTGAAGATTCCCTCCCTCTCCTCCGTCTCTACTTCCGCTCTTTGGTAACTGGGACTTTGAAGCGCTCCTGGTGTCCTGTCTTATATGTGGCTGCTTTGTCTCACGTGAACTCCTTCATCTTCTCTCAGGATGCTGCCGCACAGGTACAGCAACACTTGACACACTGAGCACTGAGTTGCTCTGCTTTATCTGAATGTTTTAGGTGTGCGTTCATATTAAGATTGTCCTTTGTATCAATGGCAGTGAAAGCTAAACCCGGCTGCCACATGTCCTGCAGCTGCTCTGAATAGACCCTGGGTTTGTGGGAACAGCTTCTACATCTGCTTTTGCACATATTTGGATCAAAAAGGAGCTTGTTGGGTGAAAGTCTTGACAATTTGACAAATGCACAAAACCAGTCCTCATATTATTTCTATTTATTCATGGGTTTGTAACTTTGAATTGGCTGCAAGCGTTTGAAGTTAAAATGAGAAACACATCATATTTGCTCAATTCACAAAGGCATTATTTTAGAGGGGTGAAGCTGAAAACATTCATACGTGCAGTGGAGCAGCATTAAACACGGAGACATAAAGTGCACGAGCCAGGCTTTGATCTTTAATTCCCTTGTTCTTTTCCAGGAGGTTGAAACCGCTCGACACAGTATGTTGAGGAAGATCTACTACCTGACTGACGAGGTACTCCTCTCCTTTTAGCATGCACTGGTAGTTTTCCTGCTCTCTTTCTGCCTCTGGTCTTTACATGCTGTGTTCATTCATTACTCATTCTCCCCCCTTGCCTCTCTGCTTCTTGATGATTTAGTTATTACAGTCTTGCTAAACTCTCACTGTTTTCATTGCGTGCTTTACCACCAAAATGTCTTAATACTTTTGTTTTCTCAAAGTGGAGCTATTGTGCTCAGTCCCAGCTCCACATTTCTATTCTTGGACTGTACTGTACTATACTGACTCACAATACAAAACAATCCTTATTTATTTTGCGCAGCCACTTTAGTTCCTCTTTTAGCTCTCTCCTTCCTCCTTCCATCCATTTAATCCAGCTTTCTTCTGAGTGGCTGCTGCTCACAAACAAAAGATGTAAACAGCAGATTGGTAGGACTTCTGTGCTCAAAGCCAGAGCTCTTATGAGACCAAATTAGAAAACTGTCTGAAGCCGATTGTTTAGAACATTATGAAGTCTGAGCTTTCAGCTCACTGGGATTACTTACACACACGGTGACCTCACTAAAGCTGCTTTCTGGAACAAGGCCCTGATTTTCGGGGGAGAGTATGTTGTTAATAAGTACTTTTATTTCCGTAACAGGAAGTGCTGCACTTCATTAACGACAGAAATCCATCTTCAGGGAGGTGATCAATGAAAGATGGTCATTGAGGCAGAGGCATGCGAGGAGCTGTCACTTGTGCACATTTCATACTGTTCTGATTAAGTGCACGTCCAGCCTAGCATGTAAACACCAGGTCCGGTTAAATCACATAGTGTGTAACAGTCAGTATGAAAAAGGAAATGTGTGTGTTTAACCTCAGCTGGTGTCTCTATCCCCCCTGGTAACAGCAGGGTCCACATGGGGCACAAGCCTGTCTTGTTGGGAATATCTGGTTCACACAATCACTCCTGCTGCTCCTCTCACATCTTTCTCACTGTCATTCTCTCATTTCCAGGTGTTGAGGAGTCACTTGCTGCTCTTCCGTCTGCCCCAGCATCACTTACAGCTCGGCTTCGACATGTACGAACAGTTGCCTCCCATTAGGGCCAAACGTTTGGAGAGAGTCCTGGGACTGCAGGAGAGCAGTGTTGACAAAGGAGACTGAAAAGAGTGAAAAAAACCTGAAGAAAAATAACAGGGTTGTATTCTCAAAATAGGCTAGGTAGAGGCGAGATGAGGTATTATGAAAGCAGAAGGTGCTGCACCACAGCGAGATGTTCGTTTCAAGGCATCACAATGTCACATGTAGTTGTTTCTGTGGCCCTTTTTTCTTTAAACTAAAGCTGAGTTAGACTCAGTTTCTAGTGCTTATGGTACCCTGATGAGGCTCTCAC